TTTTGCCTGAACTACATCGCTTACATCGCTTACACTTCAACTCGCTCAAACTGCCTACAGGCAATTGAGAGGGAGGGAAAGTGGGTTGCGCGGTACCTCCATTTTGCAATGGCAGGTCGTTGCAACGCACAAGGCGTAGCAGTCTTTCAGTCGTCATCTACATGTCTCAGAATACCAATTCTGATGACCTCAGCCACATAACGGATCCTAAGTTCGTCCACTTCCATAGATGTGGTGGAGTGGAAGAGGATGGAGATGAAGTCAGGCGTTCGGCGTGTGACAAACTGGGATAGGCCAGAAGCCCCAAACAGGTCACAGGTGCCCGGACAAGCTTGCAAACAGTGTTGCAACGTAGCTTCTACGGCCTGACAGAAGGGACACGGCTTCAGCAAAAGCGTATCTTCGTGTCCTGGAGTCGCCAGCAACAGGCGAAGCGGCCACAGTCCCGTCAACCGAGTAAAGCTCCACAGCTCAACAGAATCCCACAGCTTATCAGGGACACATCCCAACAATACATCCCACCCTTGGCAAGCGCGAACTGGGCAAAGGTCTATGTACCTCAGGTTAAGACCTGCCAAAACCTTAGTGGCGGAAGCTGCGAATTCCGTCAGGTCCAAGGCACTAAGGCGAGGAGTCAACACTAAACGTTTGTAACGCTGCAGCAAAGTTTTCCGTAAGGCCTTACAGGATCTGGCCAGTTCCATTTCTTCCAGCGTGCAAACACCAGAGTCCTGCAGAGGCGGAATTCCTCCGCACTGCTCCAGAAGGTCACGAGTCATGTGCAACCAAGTACCATTGTGAATGGGTTCGGCCATAGTCACCATACGATACACTGGGTGATCTTGTGGTAGAATGCTGATTTTGGCCAAATAAGCCAAAGCTCGTAATTTGGCCTTAGTGCCCAACCTAAAATGCCAGCCAACAGTGGCCACTGCAAGAGGCCCGCGTATGGCAGACCCTGCTTTGCCTGCTAGAATTTGTTTCGCCCAGTCAGCCTGCAGCCTGTTCAGCTGTGAGTATGCGTTGGGGACCAAGGGCAGGAGCTCGGCGGCGTAGAGAATGACGGGTTCGACCCGTTCAGTGATGGCAACTGCCAAAACCGGGGGTGGAAAGCCTGCCTGCTTAGCCATGGTCATAAGCTCCTGGAAGAGAGCATTTCCCACTTTTAAGATATGGGCAAGGCGCATTTCCAAGGAAAGACCACGTTCAAGCTGGACCCCTAACAACTTATACGTTTCACACGCAATGTCAACCAAGGGGACGTCAGGAGCGTCATAGCAGGGCATGATGGCAGTCTTTGACGGTCCCATATTAAACTTGGCACGAACAGTGTGTGCAAACAAGTCCAAACCCTCAGTTGCCGCCTTGCAGACCTCGGTGCAAGAAGGAAACGGTGCAACCACATCGTCTATAAAGAGGAGAGGCCCCAGGGGCGAGTGGCCCAAGTTCTCCAGGATCTGCACTCTTTCATCGATGGAATTTAACCGGCCAAGATCATGGATGGCCACTCGCCGAATCAGGCGTTGATCCCAACCCTGCAACATCAGCCTTTGAAGTCTAGCTACAATGGCTGGCCCTTCGTTTAATGGTTCAAGGCGACAGAGTTCTGGGACAGGCGTGAGAGTCGTCCACAACCCTGCAATAGCATCGGCTGCAAAACTAGGCAGGACCGAATTGGAGGGTTGGCAAACAGAAGAAAGAATTTGCTGAAGGAGCTTCATGAAAGCCGTCAAGATGTGAACAGCAAAGCGCTTGCCTTGTGGAAGGCCCGCCCTGAAAGACATCGCGTCTGATACTACCCCACCAAGGGAGAGGACAGCAGAGTCCATGTGAAGGAAGTCCCAGAGTAACAACCACTCTGTACCCACCACTCCTGCATGAAAAGCTGCGAGCAGCATTGCATTATGATCCGTAGCATCATAGGCGGATTGTATGTCTGCAAAGAGCAGATATGTATGGAGCCCTTGTGAGTGCCGGATTTGTGCGTGTAGTATTACCGCTAAAACGATTGCCACTGTCTCAAACTTGCCCCCCAGTTGCGCTGCGCCAGTGAAGTCCTCTAAGATCTTCTTGCAACGTCCGAGCCAGAGCCCATCTTGAACTGCAGCCATGTCTGAGACGACACTTATTGGTCTGAGATTAGTGACCTTTCGGACTACTCTAGGCCCAGCCTTGCGAATGGGCGTGATGCGTCTTTCACACCAAAGCGAGGAAGTTAACTCACACTCCCTAGCTAAGTTAACCAAAGCCAAATTGAGAGCCTTAGCTGGGGGACAGCTCGTCTTGGCAGCTGCCAGAGCGCATCGATAACTTTGTTTGCGCAGACGGAAAGACCGTTGCACTTCCTCAAGTTCTTGCCATGAATAAGGGGCTGCGTTGACTGCCGTGTTGCTTTCAGGGGCATCCGCAAGACCTGGAATGCCTCTCGGCACAGCTTTGTGCCTGTGAATGGTGCGAACACTCTGTTCAAGTGCACGCTCACATTCTGGATCCTGATAGAAATCATTGTCCGCTCTTCCCAGCAAATCATGCTGGATAGCAGAAATAGTTTGTTGCACCCCTGAAACTGCACCAGTGTTAGGCTCAGCCAAAGCATACCCAAAATCACGGTCCTTCTTGAACCATGAAGAAAGAAAGGCTTTCGCCTGATTAGGTTGAGATGTCAGGAGCGACAAATATCTGCTTACAGTGGCCGCCTTGGTTTGGTCATCAAATTGCTTCACAGCTGCCTTGTATTGGTCATAGTTCTGGAAGTCACAGACTTTAGGCACTCTCTGTGGCCACCGATTCTTTTGACCGGCGACTCCGCGAACACGGGTAAGTCCCCCGCAATGCCCTGTAAAACAAACCAAAACTTCCCTAATCCAAGCAGCGGCGTCAAGCAAATCCCGCTTACGCTTAGGCAACAAACAGTGCCTGTTTGCTGCAATCTCAACTTGCACGTCATTAGTAATCAAGGCAGCCAATGCAAATGAGGACTCTGCCGAAGCTAGCGCCTCATCCCACTCATTCGACTGGGACCAAATGACTCGCCCAACAGATGATTCAAAGGACGCCTGCAAAGATACGGGGCAGCGTGAGATAACCATGAAATGATCAGACGCTCCAATGTCCTCTTGGACTACATCAACTGGTAAGGGTTGGCACCTGTCAGTTAGGACGAGGTCGATAATCGTCCCACTGACATGCGTCGGGAAATGCGGGTTGCATGCTACCAGGTTACGGGATTCAATTTCCAGCTGTATGAGTTTGTCATTGAGCCTTTGGCAGCAATGTAGACAGCTGCATTCTGGTGAGTGGTGAACAAGACCTTGCAGATGAACGTTGCCATCACCTGCAATTACAATTCTGGATGAAGGGTATTTCGTCTTGATAATGTCGAATTCAGAAAGAATTTGCCGCCAAGTCTGTAAGTCACCCCCTGGTTTGGGATAGATGGCTCCCAGAATAAGAGCAGGACCCTGTCGCTGCCAACGTTGGCCACGGAACATCAGCCAGAGGATCACTGGGGAACCCATGTCTTCCATGACAGAAACTTCTAAACGCAGTTCTGACGCAACAAGTACACCCACTGCTTCCCATGAGGTAGTTTGCAGACCAAGCCACTCAAAAGGGAAGCCTGCAGGAATTTCCGCTCCGGGGGGCCACCTGGCCCCAGGAAGGATACAAACCTGTATGTTCTTGTCCACTAAAACGGAGCAAATGTGGAAGAGCCGCCATAAGAGGAGTTCTTCACTAGCAATGCGGCTCAACCCCAAGCGCCCCGGATTTAGGACAGCAAAGGTGAGCTCAGAACATTGGAACCCTTCCTGCTTATGTTCATATTGGTCCACCAAGGTGCCTCCCATGTAGGGCGATTCAATTGCCACTCTGCTTGTGGTGCTGCGTGCAGCACTTGGAATGGCCACGTGCTTCAAGAAACCCTTTAACGCAGAAACAAATTCAGAAAGCTTTGCCAGTCTCAAAAAACGGGATTGTCCATTGGAGGCTAGGTTCCCAGGGTTTTGCGGGGCTAACTCAAAGAGCCCCCGAATATCTTTGAGGGCAGCGTTGACCTCCATTCTTTTCGGCACACTGGCCAGCCAGTCCGACCAGATATGGCGAAGCTCTTGGATACACAGTTGTATCGAATCGTCCATGGCTGCAATTAAGGCTGAAAGGTAAAAAGCCCCGGGCGTAAAAAACCTCATGAAGGCGAGAGAAAAAAAAATGAGTGCAAGGCACAAATCTTCAATAACACCACTTCACGGGCAAAGTCTAGCGGTTGAAGAACCAGATCTAGGAACGGCTCGCTGCCAATTTCACATACCGCGTCCCATGGTACATTCATGTGGTGTTCCACATCGACAAATTAAGTATTCAAATTAGGTGCAAGCGGTCTCGAGTAGAAGTTGAAACGAGCCTCACGCTTCACTGGTGGGACTCATAAGCGTGGAAACAGGCCCAAAGAAAGGCAAAAGCTTTCTCAAAATGTCATGCGTGAAGCAAGACCTACGCCCCTTCAGCACCACTTGGACCAAGCGGCTGTGAACTTGTACTGTCAGCTTTACTGACGGCGAAAAAGTAATCGAAACACTGGGCTGACCTTTCTGTCCACCCACCTCTCCATAAGGCATTCTCGCATTCGGCTCGCCTTTCTTTAACACCTTAATTCCAGCAGCCTCAACTTTTGCATGGAGGGCTGCTGCTGAAACAATGGGAGGCATTGGGTGAAACGTGGCAGTGATATTTGAACGGTGATTTCCTCCTAGCTCCGCAAGCTTTGAGCAGACATTGTCTAACGCTTTCAAGATGGCCGAGTCTGTCTTCAAAACCTGGAGGTCATGGGCTAGCGACTCTTTCGCGCCGGAGTCCCAAACCTTTTGCGAGGTCTCTTCAACTGCACTTGGCTCTACACGAGGCTCAGCGTTGACGAGACTAGCCACAACCTCGGGGATTGTGACCTTGACATGCGCAAAGATTTCCTGCTTAAAGTCCTCAAGCTTTTTCGCTAGGAGCTCATGGATCGCATCGGGGAGTACATTCACGACACTTGACGCTTGAGTACAGGTTGCGTTCCTCAATCTCGGCAAAGGTGAACGGGACCTGCTACGTGAAGAAGAAGAATCTTCTGCAGTAGCTTCGTGGGGATGACATGGGTCAATCTCATAGGATTGCGGTGTGAAATGATCTCGGCCAACATGCTCAATCTCAAGTTGGTGTAAGAAGCACTCAACAGCAGCATTGACTCTGCAGATGGCTTCGCGATCCATGGATCTACCCTACCTTCCCACGAAAACGCCCAAAAACTACCGAAACAGGCCAAGAGCCTTCAATGTCACAAGCAACGCGGCTCATGATCTTTCAACAAGTTGCAAGCCCTCAAATGTACTTGCTGGTCGTCATGAGTCACTGCAAGCTTGGTTAAGGCGCAACTTCCATGATCTTTTTCGGTCATTGCAGAACCATACCCAAAACATTCTCTGAACACTCACAGGCACATGCATTCCTGCACGCGCATCCTACATCCATCCAAGGCTCAGGAGCACATTTTTGGAAGGTGCTTCCGAGAGGAATCTGCACAACAATCCCTTAAAAAAAAAGAAAAAAAAACAAACAAACAACCAACCACCAATGCCCCCACTTCCTAAACCCATCTAAGGCCCAAGGCTCAGGGGTGTCCTCAGTCAAGGTGGAAAAGAAAAAAAAAAAAAAAAAACGGGCGGCCGCAAACCAAGGCACATGCATGCATCATGCATTCCTGCACCCATTTCAGGCTCAGGAGCACATTTTTGGAAGGTGCTTCCGAGAGGAATCTGCACAACAATCCCTTAAAAAAAAAAATCAACAAACAACCAACCACCAATCTCCCCACCTCCTAACCCATCTAAGGCTCAGGGGTCTCCTCAGTCAAGGTGTACGCGTGCGGTAGCACATCTCACACAACACACACCACACACAACCACGAACGCACACCACGAAAACAGCAAACAAAAAAAAAAAAAAAACAACAACAACAAGCAACGTCCAATCCCCACACATCCTCGACCCATCCAAGGCTCAGGAGTGTCCTTAGTCAAGGCGCATGCGTGCAGCAGCCCAG